AGCTTTCTCGTCACTTAACAACGTTAATTTGTACAAACGCGCGCGAGAACACAAGTGCGAGCGCGGCACTCCCACGTCAATTGCATAATTCGTCCGCGCCGCGATAATTATTCTTATAGCGACGAATCCGATTTCCTCTTTCTTCTCCCCCTTTTCCTCCTTCTTTTCATCTCGTCAGTTTACATCTCCCGAAAAAAAGATCAGATCTTGCATTCGACACTTCAGAATGCGGGTGGCAGCGGTGGCGGCGGCGGCGTTAACGATCGCCCTGCGGAAACGCCCAAAGGCAAGCAGAGAGAGAGAGAGAGAGAGAGAGAGAGAGAGAGAGAGAGAGAGAGAGTGAAAGAGAAAGGGAGAGAGAGAGAGAGAGAGAGGGAGAGCCGCATTTCGAATCTGTCGCGCGCGCATTCACGCACGCACGCACGGACACGGTAGCTGCTTTTCGGTGACACATGCATTGATGTGCGTACATGTGCGTATGTACACAGCGAATGCGTTCGGACGCTCGTCGAAATGTGCCGATAACGAGTCAATTCGCCAGCGACTTTGTCACCCGTACAGTCCTTTTCTTTCTGAAAAAAAAAATAAAAAAGATGACAATGACGATGATGATTATAATAATGATGATGATAATGACGATGATGACGACGATGACGGCGACGACCACGACGATGACGATGATGATAATGATGATAATAGAATTGCTCGATGTGTGATGTCGACAACTGTCATTGCGGTAAACTCCACTGTCGACGTTCGCACAGGACGTCACCGAGTTAATATTGTCAGTAGCACACGTTTTATAGGAAACAAATATATATATAAGCGAAATTTATGAATATCGATAATTGTGTCGTCGCTACGCACTTTCGCTTATTCAGCATTCAATGCAGTAAATTTATGCAATTATGTGAGAGAGAGAGAGAGAGAGAGATAGATAGATAGAGAGAGAGAGAGAGAGAGAGAGAGAGAGAGAGACGCAATTCCTTTTGCCGACCTATCTTAAAGTTTAGACATATTGAATTAATAATTGCGTACAAGTTGAAATGTTTCTGAATACAGATATATAGTAATTAAATATTCGTAATTGATTCACTTCATTTCGCAATTCGAGGCACTATCGCAATTTATGCATATTTAATTTTTAAAAGAAAAAATCTCGAAATTCGCACAGTCGTTTTTCCCATGTAATAATTATTTTAACGAACTCGAAAAAAGGGCAGAGCCTCGCGTGTAATTTCTGCATAATCATGCGATCAGAAAATCTCACGCTAAAGCATTATAATGTATGATAAAAACAGGGCATGTCCCTTTCTGCATCTATGGTCGGATATAGCTCGGTATTCAAATAACTTTCGAAGCACTTTCGATGTTATATAAGATAAGGTTATTATTGATATAGGATAAGCGTTATATTTGACAGTTCGAAGGGCCCGGAACGAGCCGGCCTGAATATTGAGCCATCCCTGCTTCGCCATCCTTATCGTCGTCTGCTCACGACGTAGCTCCACAAAGAAACTCGCAACCCCTCGTCACGCTTTCTTACCTCTAAAATGTCGTAAATGATTCCCAACCCCTCCCCCCTCTCTCTCTTCTCCTTTTCTTCCGTCTTTCTCTCTTCAATACTTTTCGATTCGTTCGTGCAATTAGCGCGCAGACTTTAACCCGTTGAGAATAACCGGAACGCATTTGTTCGTCCATTCATGCCATATTAATTTCTATCTGAGATCATTTAGGTACAATAAAGAGGGACGATTTCTATTGTTTATTAATATTAAATTGCGATGTTTTATTGATATCAAATTGCAACATGCGCGTCAGATCACAATAATGTAAATCGATTCGCCAGAGACGCCAGAGGAATGCAAGGATTATTACAACATCCATTAATTTTTATTTACGCGTAGGAATATTAATTGCATATAGAGCGCATTCTTTTTTTCTATATGTAAATCATATTTTGGTCCGTGAGAAGACTTTCCTTCATAACCGTATCATGTTAGGAATTTTATCTCGAGGTTAAAGCGAAATTTAGGTCGCATATGGAGAGAAAGAAAGAGAGAAGTTTGCATGTTAATATCATTTCGTTACATTATGAGGCAATCAATTATGTTTTTTTTTTTGACAACCGAATATAGCAACTAAATAATTATTGTTTGACACGATATAAATAAATTACAAAACTTTTCTCGATGAATTTATGTTTTATGCTTAATGACGAAAATTAATTCGTTATTTTATTTATTTGCAATAAAATAACAGAAAGAGAGAGAAAGAGAGAGAGAGAGAGGATGAGAAAAGACGCGTAATCGACTACTTTTTTCAACTTATTCACACGCGTCGAGAGAAGTTAACACAAAGTGTTTACTCGTTATAATTCCAAACGGTCGTCGAATAATGCACGATAGAGAGTAACTCGATAACGGACGGATCGTCGACGATAAACGGTTTGAAACATTTTAACCCAATTGATTTTGTAGAAAACTACTCGGTCTCTATCGCTAGCGTATTGCCGGCTACTATTATTACCACGTTAAAATCGATCAATCGGGCGTCGCACTTCGGGCTCGCAATTTGCCACGCGATAATGTCGTTCTCATTGCCAGTCGCAATTTACATCGTCTTCGAAAAAGCAGAAGCGAATTTTCGCGTTTACGAGCATCGCGTAATGGCGCAAAAAATTGGCGCCGCCGGTTTTCAAGACGATACGCGATGCGCGATTGGATACAGGTCGCCTTGAAAATCGTGAACCAAATTTATTCCACAATTTTTCTCATTCGCGAGCATCTAATGGCGCAAACAGGTATCGGTATTGTACGCTCCTGCTGCGTTTATCACTCACCTACCCCTGTAACGCATCGTGACTTCGCTCAGCAAAGGGGAGACTATTACTACTACGCAAGGTTGGATTGGATACGGGGAAAAAAGGAACTTTAGCTTCCGGCACATTAGATGATCGTGCCAGTCATTTTTTCCAGCCGGAGACGCTTCCGCCGCGTTATCTTTTTGTGTTCCCCTCCGCTCCTCTGCTCTCGTCCGTTCCCCCCCTGCTTCATCCTGGCTGACGCTTTGTAATACTACGTAAGATAGACGACCGGGTCATTTTACGCGAATCACACGTTAGGGTGTGTCTTATCAATAGTAGAGTACGTAACGCCGGAAAATGAGCGGTAAACGCGCATCTCTCTTCGACACATATCCGAGAGAAATTCGCGTCAAGAGAAATATTCATCGAAGATCTGATCTGAAGAACACATCGAAGATCGCAAATCGAAATCGCATATTCTGTGATAAATCGCGAAATTTCAACATTTTAGCGATTTAGGATTCTGGTGATGTCATTTAATAATTTTCTGTAATCAATTTGGAAACGTTTCTCCCGAATAATTTCTAACGTCGACAAAAATCTAATTATACGTCACACACAATTTAGGGAGCGCTCGTGACGTTAAATATCATTGGAAATTTTATTTCCGTTGAAATAGAAAAAAAGACTCGCACGAAATTCATGGAATAATATATTATTATCCGTCGCTATAACACAAAACTCGTGTTTGAATCTGCCAAGGTTAAGCAATCCCCGTAACATCGCCTTACCTTGAGTTTTCACGAGGGAAAACTTGATCGCGCGGATTCGCCGGGAGTACGTTCCTCAAGTTTGACGTAAACTTCAGGAAACACCCCATATACAGGGTGTAGGTCCACGATGCCTTCAATTTGTTTTCTCATGAATACTTTCCTCCGATCCTGGCGAGCGACGACGTGAATGCACCGTTCGCGCAGTCGCACTCGCCGGTAGATACGGAACAGCCACCAGGAAAGTGTAAATTAAAATCCAGGGCGGTTACTCGCGCAAAGAGAGAGAGAGAGAGAGAGAGAGAGAAGGAGGGAAGAGGGGGGAGGATGTGAGAGAGGGAAAGAGTAAAAGATAAAGAGGACGAGGAAGAGGGGTGGAGAGAAACTTGTGCAATAAAATTCGCAAAATTTATGAATTAACTTAAACGTTGACGACAAACGTGCGAATATTACAATGCATTATAATGATATTAAAATTAATTACTCATTACAATGTGCAAAAGCGCTGCAGATAATTGGAAAAATTATTACACTACACATGCGCGACAAACGCATGTGTCGATTCAGAATCTCACACGTTCGAGACGAGAGTTTTGCGATATTAAAAGAACGGATAATTTGAATCGATTGCGATCAAGATGTGATGTGCTTTTCGAGAGCTTCGCATCGTCTTATGATCAACAGTAACATTTCCGCCTAAGAGAGAGAAAGAGAAAAAGAGAGAAGCTACACATTTCAGTATGTGCTACAACCAGATCGCAATTCCGACTTGCGTTCGCGATGTATCCACTCCGCGATTCACGGAGATATACGCGGACAACATTTAATGGACGCGTTGCACATCGCATGCAATCCGATTTGGCTGGATTTTCGCCGGAATGAATTTCGCAACTATATTAATTAGATACCACATCGTCGTTAATTCGCAGGCATCGTATACTGAGGCATCGAATATTCTTCAGTCCCGAGGACGAGGGAGAATAATTCGTCGCGCTCGACTCAACAAGCGTTCCCCAAAATCCCGTCCCGCAATTCCTTTTGACCTGAGCAAAATTTCGCGATGAATCTCTCGCGTGTGAGAGAGGGTGACAGAGAGAGAGAGAGAGAGAGAGAGAGAGAGAGAGAGAGAGAGAGAGAGAGAGAGAGAGAGAGAGAGAGAGAGAGAGAGAGAGAGAGAGACACAGCGACGTCACGCCAATTCTGGGACACCCTATAAACCTCCTATATACCCCCTGCACGAACAGCCCTGCATGACAGCGCGCTCGGCGCGTTCTCCGCTTCCGCCACCGCCTCTGCCGCCTCCACCGCCGCCGACGCCTCCACCTCCACCGCCTCCACCACCGCCACCATCGCCGTCGTTGCCGCCACTGCCGCCGCCGCCGCCGCCGCTGCCGCCGCCGCCGCCGCCGCCGCCGCCGCCGCCG